GGATCATCTATAATTTTTTCCTAAATATTTATTTATTTAGTTAGTTGAAAGTCAGAGTTACAGAGAAGGAGAGGGAAAGAGAGAAAGAGAGATCTTCTATCTACTGGTTCACTCACCAAATGGCTGCAATGGCCAGGGCTGGGCCAGACCAAAGCCAGCAGCCAGGATCTTTATCCAGGTCTGCATGTGGGTTCAGGAGCCCAAGAACTTGGGCCAACTCACTCTGCTTTCCCAGAGACATTAGCAGGGAGCAGGATTTGAAGTGGAACAGCTGGGACTTGAACTAGCACCCAAACCAGATGGCAGTGCTGCAGGCAGCAGCTTTATCAGCTATGCCACAATGCCAGCTCCTCATCTATAATCTTTAATCCCACCTTTCTTTTGCTTAGTGCCATGCCCATAAACCATGAGTGATTGGGTTACATCTTCATTCAGCAGGGGTGAAATAGAATTTTCATCTGTATACAAATCTGACTCATTGAAAGAAATTGAATGATCTCAGTAGATGGACCTGCTGCATCGAAAGGCAGCCAACCGATGGGAGTGTCCCCAGCTTAGCTGGGGGAGGGAGAATATGAGATGCAATCTGTTTTTTTAAAAAATCTGAGTGATAAACTCAACATGATGTTCATAGAAGCTGTATTTCCATTGTTAAAGAAAGTCAGGTGAATGCAGCCCTATTTTAGTCAAAGTCAAACACAGAAGTAAGAAAGGGAATCTGCTTATGCTCCCATCACAGGAGAATACCGAGAGTCCAGGGGGCGTGTCCCGTGGTCTCAGAGCGCCTCCTGGGGGTGTTCACAGTCAATGTCATCCCACTCAAAGTCTGCTCCAGTGAAGGGCAAATTGTCTCCCAGTTGGTCTGCTTTTCAAGATTCCATGATGAACTCAACTCCTGGAACTATCTGAATAAAAATGGAACCTGAAGGTGCCTAACTACCAACTCAAAGTATGAGCACATAGCTGGGACTGGATGGAAGGCTTTACAATAAAATATCAGACGAAGCTATTTTATCTGTGTGGGTGTTGTTTGTTGTTTTGTTCACTGAAGGATTCCAAGTTCCTAGGAAAGTACTTGGCACTTAGCAGGTAACATGATAAATATTAATTTAATCATTCATCAATTCTTGGTCTCAAGGTTGGGTATGTACATGTCCATGGGTATGTGTATGTCCAGCTTAAGGAAGAGAAAGAAAAAGCCCCTGCCTGCTTCTTGTGCTGTATTGTTCCAAGTAATAATTCACAACATATTGACAATAATTATGGTTGTCAACTCACGAAGTTCTTTCACCATTCATTTAGCTGGTTATTTGGGGGCTGCCTCCTATGTACCAGACACTGGTGAACAGTAGGGATTCAGACACAGTGGTCATGTTTGTAATCTAGGCAAGGGAAATAGGCAAATAAGCAGACTGCTAACAGTGCATGTGGAAAAGACACAGTAATCGAAAGGGGTTTAGGAAGACAGCTGCCCCAGCCACAGGGCATCAGAGACAGCATGCCCAAGGAAGGGATATACAGGTGAAACTAGAGGCAGCAGGCCCCCGCCCCGCCCCACTGGTCTGGCCCAAAAGGAACAGGGAAGAAAGCTGTCTGCTCTCCTAGCCAAGGAAAATCCTTGTTCGGTCTTCTCTGTGAGAATCTGCTAATGTTATCTCCCACTGGCGTCTGGTATTGGATGGGGCCAATCTGACGTAGCATAGGTGGGTCCCAAGTATATATTCCTGAATGCCCTTGCCAATTTGGAGCTTGTGGTCCTGAGCAGGGGCAGCACTGGCTGACTATTGCTGTCACCACCTCTCGCCACCGAGGTTGGCCTGGTCCCAGATCAAGTGGTCATGACCTTAAGGACTTTTCCACCTGTGGCTCTGCTTGCCTCAGTGCTGCCCCCAGGCTTTTGGGTCACCCTGCTGTTGTTAATTCTTCAAAGACATCATTTTTTAAAAAAAGATTATTTATTTGCAAGGCAGATATACAAAGAAAGAAGCTGGGGGTGAGAATCAAGTTCTTTCATCTGCTGATTCACTCCCCAAATAGCTGCAATGGCTAGGGCTGGGCCAATATAAAGCCAGGAGCCTGGAGCTGCTTCCAGGTATCCCATGTGGGTGCAGGGGCCCAAGCACTTGGGCTATCTTCTGCTGCTTTATCAGCAGGGAGCTGGGTCAGAAGTGGAGCAACCAGGACTTGAACCAGAGACAGGGCTGCTGGAGGAAGCTTAACCTTCTATGCCACAGCACAGATCTTTCTGTGCCCCAGAAAGATCATTTGCTCCCCCCCCCCCAGCCTCCTGAGTGACTGCAAGCAGGACAGTGTCACTGTTGAAACTCCTCTCATGCTATTCTCTTTCTGGAAGGATGGGGAGAATAATGGGCTACGTTCGGCTCAGTCACCTGAGCTGAGGGACCGTGAGTTCTTTTCTGGTCTCCTCTCTCCTCGGGGCGGGGCTGAGCTGAGTGTCCCCTGTGCCCCCTCTTCTCAGCTGCTGTGTGGAGGAACACCCCCATGAGAACTGCATGTGGTCCCATCATACCATCGGTGGAGTCAAGAAAATATAATGACAGTCATGATTTATTAAGCACTTACTATGTGCTAAAGACTTGATGATTATCATCGCCAGTGATACCAAAATCCTAGCAGAGTAACTATTGGTGTATGATGAGAAAAATGAGGTTCAAAGAAGTCTGATCAGGTGCCCAGGGCCATCCTATGTTGTGGAGCTGGAGTTCAAATTTCGATGCATGTTGTTAAAAGGATGATGTCACGGGCTACTCACCCACCCCTTCGTGTTCTTAATGCCATATTTGCCAGGTAGCCTGGTAGTCCTCTAATGGCAAGCCTCGAGCTTTTTATACCACTCACCCATTTGCAGTAGCAGGAAAGAAATCTTGAAAGTACAAGCAATTCCGGGATAACTGGACACATTCTGTTCTAACCAGCTATAATCTCTTCTACTCCCTAACTCTAAGCAATGGTGGCAAATTCTATCTTCATAATACATTTCAACCTTTGGTTTTATGATTGAACAGATGTGACATACCGATGACTGAGAATGCCAAGATAAGGGATGAATTCTGCCCTCATGTTCAGTAAAAGGATTGCAAGGCAGTACGGGAAATGTAGCAATAGAACTGTGTACAAGGGACGGGTTAGAGAGAGAGGCAGGACCAATCGTGCTAAGGAAGTCAGTGGGGAATTCCCTATGAAAGTTGTGCTTGGTGAGACCATGACGTATTAGTAGTTTAGCAGAGGGCAGAGAAGGGAGAGACAGGACATCAGAGGCAGCAAGAGTTAGAATCAATTTTGGGACCCTCTCCTGACGCAGCCAACATGACTTGTATGTACATGGATAAGTTTTCTTGCTTCCTCGGATGAACATGAAGCTCCTTGGCCCTAATGTTCTCTGCAGCGGGAAGGGCATTCACTCTTTCAAGCTTCCAGAAGCCCATTTAGTAAATTAACGCTGGAGCTACTGTGGGATTGAATCACAGCTTGCCATTGTCATCAGCTTAGCACTCCTCGAGACAGGCTCACACCAAGGCTACCCAGCAGCCAGCTCAGGAGAAAGGGGCTAATTGTCTTCCCATTTCTTCCTCTGATGATAGGATTCCTCTCAATGACGAATGTGGGAAACACAGCCATTCAGGAGGAAGGGGCAGTTGATGTTTAATAGTAACTGTATGCATCTAAAAGCAAAAATACATTTTCTACATATTCATCGTAAAGCATTGAGAAGTAGCAAGGAAGAAAAGATCTGTCAGTTCTTTACTAAGAGACAGTCATGTTGATATTCTGTCCTTCATACTTGTATTTTAGCAAAATAGAGAATACTAATGTGTGATGCATACTATTTGTAATCTATCTTCCTTTAAGTATATGAAAACATTATATATTATTATTACTCTTCTGCTGCATTTTAAAAATTTATCTATTTTCACTTTATTTGAAAGACAGAGAGACCTTCCATCTGCTGGTTCACTTTCCAAATGCTCACAACAGTTAGGGCTGTGCCAGACCAAAACGGGGAGCTGGAACTCCGTCTGGGTCACCCACCTGGGTAGGGGTGTTTGGGCCAATATCTGCTGCCTTCACAGAACATCGGCAGAGAACTGGATCGGCAGCCAAGGAGCTAGGACTCAAACGAGGCATTCTGATGTGCAGTACGGGCACCTGAGCTGTGACTTAACCACGGTGCCCGATACCTGCCCCTTCGCATGCATGGTTTTTAATGGTTTCATAATGTCCTATGCATTATGTGGTTCATTCATGATTTATTTAGCCATTCTATTGCTGGGCATGATTTCATTTAAACTTTCCACGATCATAAACAACACCATGACGAACATGTTGGAGCTGAATCTCGGGGCACATAAATGGCTGCTCTAAGCCTCAGAAGGGTATGAAGCAGGCAGACTGAACTCAGAAGTAAGCCTTCTGCTCCGTGGCACGAACGGCAGCTTTGTTAGGGAAGGGCTGTTTCCCTAGTGGCATGTATGCGGGATGATTGGCCAACGCGAGGCCCGTGGTACGCCCTGCCGAGCAAGCGTCAGTCCTGCCACCTGGCACCTCCCCAGGTCCTCGGAAACCTGCCATGGGGCTCGGGCCTCCCGGTGGAGAGCAGACTTCGCAGGGTGGGCAGGCACCATGGGGAGAAGCGGGAGAGGGCCCTCAGCAATTTTTTTATGGCACCAGGCTTCTGTTCAGTGCTTTGGATAATTAAAAAGAGACCCCCACCCAGGCCACATCTTCAGTCTAAAATGCACTGCGTGTGGATTTTGGAATTGGCTCCCGAGGGACGGGGTGGAAGCGCAGTCCTCCGGGACATGTCAGCGAGGCTGGAGAAAGTGCTGCAGAACTGTGCGTGCTGACTGCTCCACAGGCAGTGCTCGGCTAGCTGACCTCATAGGTCCTTCCCATCTGGAATGCCTGTGATGATCGGAGCGGCTTTTGCAGTGTGGCCAGACTCAGAGCACAAACATTTAAAAAGGAAGCAGGCCCCCGTGGAGGGACAGGGAGATCTTCCTTCTCGGTGTTTTCTGCCCCTAAACCACGTCTGCTCTCCCTGACAGCCGAGGTGGGCAGCAGGCCTCCCTCGGTTTCCTGGGCTGGGAGAGGCTCCGGTGCTGCCTCGGTAACAGCAGAAGCGTGTTCTAGAGCCCACTCGCCCCAGGTGATGGAGTTCGCAGAGAAGTGAAAGACAGGGAGGAGCCCGTCCTCCCCACAGCCCCCAGTATGCGTGGGACAGCTGAGCAGGAGCCATGGACTTCCTGCCTTGTCCCCTTGGGGGCTTGGTCTGTGCCCTCAGCCTTTATCCCCCACAGAGGGAAAACCATCCTGCCCCAGCAGGCCCGCTCATGAGGTTGTGAGACAGTGAAGCTGCTACCGCATCCTTGCTATAGGCCTAGCTGCATGTGTGCGAACCGCATTCATGCAATGGATACTCACCACGAGAATGGGCTAAAGTCATCCATTGAGCACTAACGTATTTGAAGGTGAGACTCTTTCATTTGTTTATTGCTATATTCCCCAGGTTTGGGCTATATCCTCAATAACTGCTAGTTGCATGAATGAGTGAATGAATACAGCATCTAGTATGGCAAGGTACTATGCTAGATGCCAGGAGAGCAGTGTGGCATGGTGGGAAGGGCACTGGATTTGCAGTCACACAGCTCTGGGTTCCAGTCTGTTGGGAGCCTCCATGCCCTCTTCTGGAACCAGTTGTGGCGATGAAATCTGTTGGTCAAATGCCTAGCGCAGCCCAGGTCTCGGGGGTGCTGAGCGAGTCCTTATCGTCCTTCTTGGAATGCACATTCTGGACTGTGCAGCTCCCCAAGGGGTGAGCCAGGCTGGGAAGATACTAGAGAAGGGAGGGCTGGCTGTTTCTGTGTTCTGCTGTCGCTGCCTTGTACCTGGTGGGGGAAACTGGCTGTGCCTACACCAAGTCATCAATCTCCTTTCAGGCCACACACCTGGAGCTGTGAGCTGAGAGGCATCCGCTCCAGCAGCAGCTGGTTCATCTTCGATCCGCGGCCCAGACACATGGAGCATTTAGAACAGAGAGGAGAGGAGGTGGTCGTCTCTCTCCAGGAAGAAAAGAGTGAAGGCCTCACTTTTATTATGTGCACTGGTATATTGACTTGGCAGCTGACGTATTCCTTTTATAGCATTGCTTTGCATAAAACTGCATGATTCCAACTTATGGTACACAAGAGTTTGATTATATTTAAAAGTCAAACATGGAAGATGTCCATTGTCTACATAAGGGAGAAAAGATAAGCGGTGCCATGAATCACTACTCTTTGTACACTTGTATTCCCTGAACTAATTACTCATTTGCTTAAATAAAAGGCTCCACATTGAGTGCTGGTCATTAGCAAATACAAGCTGATTGCATTTCATCAGAATCTCTGAACTTCCTAAGCCTTATATTTCATACCAGAAACCCAAGCTGAAATATTTCCATGTGGTAACACTTTTGATAGAGGCAAAAATAATTTAAACAAATAATTAGCCTTGAGAATAAAAGTGTACACAAAAGCACAATTAATGAATTTACTAATTGTTCTTCCCTGCTGTGGACATTGCTCAAAGTTGAATTTTAAGCTCTTGCATAAATATAAACTACTGTACCAAGGCACAAAACTGGATGACTCACCATTAGTCATTAACGGTGCCTTACAAACAAGTTCTCAGAGCAAATGCGCTCACCTAGGCAGACATCAATTTGAAAATAAAAGCAAGTCTTAGCTGACCAAATGGTCTTTGAGTCATTGGGAAACACACACACACACACACACACGAAATCTGTGGGGTTTTCTGCCCTATATAAATATCAGATGGGCAACACTGACCTTATTCAAAATTCTCCATTAGCTGAATAGGAATGAATTTGGTCTGTCCTGACCATGTGGCCAAATGTATCTGCCCTCCCTCTCTCTTCTACCCATTGCTGAAATGGAATTCCGTGTGACCTGCAGTGCCTTTGGGGCTTGATAGTCTCAATACATATGTCAAGGAGTCAGCCTCTTCCTCTCCTCTGGCCTCTCCTCTTCTTCATCTTCATCTTGCCTTCTTTTAACTCCTCCAAAAGCAGTGTTTTCTAGATTTACCCAGAAGGCTGCAAACCCTGAACTATATAAAATGGAAATGGTTCTCATGTTTTCCCAGCCTGGGAACAAAAGTAGGAGAAGGCAATAGAGAGAGATTCAAGAGTGAGATAAATTCCTGGCAGAGCTGTTGGGTGTTTCCTTAAAGAGAAAAACAGCAACAACAAAAAAGATCTCTCAGCCTCTCGGGGTAGTTGTTTTTTAATAGGACTCCAAATCATGATTATTTCTGATTTTTTTATGTTAAGAAACAGGGCAGCAATCCCCTATAGGCAATATAGCTTAAAGCAAACCAATCTGTATAGAGTTGCTCATTTACATCTTTGGAATCTTAAGAGTCTGAGTGAGGACTGACATCAATCTATAGGATGCAACATTCAAATACACATCCCTGGGCTGGTGCTGTGCCGTAATGGGTAAAGCCACCACCTTCAATGCCGGCATCCCATATGGACGCCGGTTCAAGTCCCAGCGGCTCTACTTCTGATCCAGCTCTATGCTATGGCCTGGAAAAGCAGTAGAAGATGGCCCAAGTCCTTGGGCCCCTGCACCCACATGGGAGACCGGGAAGAAGCTCCTGGCTTTGGATCGGCACAGCTCTGGCCATTGAGGCCGTTTGGGGACTGAACCAGCAGATGGAAGACCTCTCTCTCTCTCTCTCTCTCTCTGGCTCTCCTTCTCTCTCTGTAATTCTGACTTTCAAGTAAATAAATAAATCTTTAAAACACACACACACACACACACACCCCTTTGTGGGGCTGATTTTAATAGGAAAATGGCAAATCATAAGAGGTCCTGAGCTTCAGGAAGCGGTTGAGGGAGGATGGTGATAGCCTGCTGTAGAGGGAGAGATGGGAGGTGAATGGTCTAGAACTGGGCTCAAGTACTCAACCTTATCAGGAAGCTGTGCTTGGTGATATTCCATGGGGCAGGAGGCCAGGCCAGAACTGTGGCACAGTGGAGGTGGGGGGGAGAAGGAGGAGGGAGCGGAGGAGAGGGGGAGGAGGAGGGGCAGGAGGAGGAGGAAGGGTGATTGACCGAAGCGCCTTTCTTCGAAGCCGGAGCAAAACAGCCTCCCATTGTCCCCGGTCACGCTGCTCTGGCTATAGGGACCACCAGGACCATGTCATGATGGCTGCTGTCTTAGGGACTCTGTGAGGGTCTCCTTGCCTCACCCACGAGGTTATTTAGGTTGCCAAAGTCTGTTTGCTGCCTTCCCCACCCCACTGACTGAGCACAGAGAAAGGGAGGAGAAGGCCAAGGGCTGGCGAGGGTGGCTGCCGCCACGAGGTCCCATCTTACCAGTGCCGTTTGTCTGGGTAGCACACTGCTGATGATTTGGGTAATTTCAGCGGAGAAGAGGGTCCTCGCCTCCACGCCTGGGAAGAGGCGGCAGTAGCGGGGAGGGGAGGCTGGCTTAGAGGGGACAAAGACATGGAGAGGAGACGGGGAGGCAGAAGGCAAAGTGTTTTTCCAGCTTTACATTTTGCTCAGGGCCATCGGCGTGCACCACTGCTGGCCTCGGTTCCCCTGAGATTGGCTGCAGAGCAAATTTCCACAGGCGGAAAATCTAAGCAGAGGAGGCTCCTGCCCAGCACACGTAGCTGGGAGCCCTGGTGCTGCAGAGCTGCCCTGGGGAGATCTCCTGGGGCCTGGGACCCCTAGGGGCTGCCTTCGCTGCCCTCTGAGCAGCCCTGGCTCAGGCTCCCTGGGTGCCCAGGCTCCCTGTCTTTGGCCTACCTTTGGATCCTGGCTCATCCTTTTCCGCAGGTGTGACCTTGAGACAGGGTTATTCCACCTCTGGATCTCAGTTTCGTCCTCTATAAAGTGGGGATAACAAGAGGCCCTACCTTACAGATCTGTGATGAAGATGAGGTGAGGTGATCTATGGAAGGCACTGCAAGAGCGGCTGGTACTGGCTATCACAAATGTTAGCAAAAACCCCAACTGCTTTCTCACCCCGAGAGTGCAAAATTCACCTCTTTCTTTCTTTTTCTTTTCTTTTTTTTTTTCCCTTTCCTGGAATGGTTTCCAGAATGATTTGGCTTCTGGAGAGGGATTTATAAGGCAGCTGAACTTCTCTGGTTCTGTCTTCAACTCATTATCGTGCAGGAGTAACACAGGTTAATCGCATAGCTAATTAAGAGATAACATTAATGGAATCTGAGTTGGTGCCCTGATAAAGCCGAGCCCTGGCAGATAAATGCTGAGGTGAAGCCAAGCCATTTATTTGAGGAGCAGCAGGGTTCCTATCAGGGCACCAACTCTGCTTCCATTAAAGTTATTGATATTACACCCCAACCTACAACGGTAAGGAAATTCAATGCGTCCTTTTCTCCACTCCAGCTTTTGGAGACAACTCAGCCTCAGCGACACCGGTTGAACAAATGCACCACAAGGTGGGTCCTATAGGCCTGATAATTGAACATCACACTGAATAATGAATTAACAAATAAATGAATGAATGAACATGAAAGAAATTCATTCACAGCCACCACCGCTGCAATTAATAGGCCGCTGTCCGCCAGGGGATGTTGCCGGGGCATCTAGCAGAGCCGGGCCCTCTCTGAATTGATCAGTTGTTTTTCCAGGGCTTTGCTTCCAAGCAGATCAATGGGGACCTGAAGTACCATTTCTGTATTCCTCCCTGTCTCCTTCCAGTTCACTTAATGAAAGGGTTTTGGAGAGTTCTCTCCTCCTTGCTTTAATAAATTCTCTCACGGCTTCTTTAATTGTTGCTTTTTTTACCTTTCTCAGGGAATAATGATCAATTACTGCATTGAGCTAGCTGATGGCTGACAAATTCTCTTTGACACAATACAGCCGCCTCTGCTTTCAAGGAAGAGCCCTTGCTAAGGAACAATGGGGTTTCTATTGTACCCTCCGTGAGGGGGTGGGCTTGGGCATTTGCAATTAGCCAAGTGCATTTTACCGAAAGCTCACCATAGCCTTAAAAGAACCGGTCACCGGCCATCTGGGCCTGGATCTGGGAACATCCTCACCCACTCTGACCTCACAGCAGCCTGCGCACAATCTGCCACTGCCTCTTACCTCTGCTGCCTGCGAGACCCCCGCTGGGATCGGGACACACCAATTCTGTCTTGAGAAGTAAACACGGGGGCTCTCTGTGAATTACAGGTCAGGAAAGCCCAGACTCATCCACAGCACAGGAAACACTGTGTGTCGGTCAGAACTGGGCCAGAGTGCCGACTCTGCTGCTCTTAGGAACCTTGACCGCTCATAGCACTTGAGCAAATGGGCCAATGCTTAAGCACCTGGCCTCGAGTAGTTCCCGTGACTGGTGTGATGGCCGGATCGAGTTGTTTTACAGCCCTGGCTGAAATGAGAGCAAGACCAAATTCCAAGAGTGTATAGTAGGCCACAAAAGAGAAACTATCCCATCACAACTATTAATTCAGATAACAGGAACATTCACTCCAGGTGGCTTGATGTTGAGATTCTGTAGTATGATTTCATGTGGGTGTGAATTGAAATTCAAGGAAAGTTGTCATTTTTAAGCTTTATAAATTAAAAATAAGTTGAAAATTGAACATTCATACGCACCTGTGTGCTCTTCAAAATTCCCCTTTATTGAGTCTCCAAAACAGTTACATTTCTTATAGCAATTTGCAAAAAAAAAAAAAAAAAAAAAGCAAAAAATCTGCAGACACCTGAGACGCTGAAACTCAAGGGGGAATTTTTTTTCCTCCTGAAATTTTAAGCAGAAATTTTGCAAGATTAAATGTTGTAATTGTGCCGTCACATATGAAGGTCTATTATTATGCCTTGTAAACATAGGATTACACTATTTCTTTTAATTGCCTCATTAAACTGGGAGGTTTTAAGCATGTAAATATGTGATAAAAATAGTCTATGAAAGCTACAAGTCAAAGGTACTTGCATTAGGAAAAGGAAGTTGCAAGGTAAAGAAACTCACAATTAAGAATTAAATCTCTAAAATCTACACACAAAGCAAACTAAGGTTTTATGGAGATGGTGACCCGTCATGCCTATGTACTAGAGAGTAAATTCTATTCTGTCCAGTCTTTGATAAATACACACAATTTCCATGCCGGGCTAACTCTAATTACTGAAAAAGTCAATAGCAGGTGCGTGCCCAATAGCACAGAATAGATGGTGGACATGAGGGTTTTCTTGATTGCCTTGCCAGGGGACAGCATTTGAGTTTTTGAACCCTGAAACAGGCTAGCTCTTTTTGAGGTGTCCCTCCCTGTCATTCCATTTGGAGTTCTA